ATATTGTTGCATTTACTTGAATAAACAGTGAAAAAGCAGTGTTGTTATTTACGTCATCATAAGTCACGTGATTAGGTATTATATAAGGAGTTAGGGTGCATTGAAGCTTCATTTTAATGTTGTCCATGCCATAGGAAACATGTCTTGGGAGGATTATCTCAAGCAAGTGTATTACGATCCATCCACAGCTGGTAGTTTTACCGGAGTGGACAAATTATTCAGATACGTTCAAAAAGAGGGAAAATATGATATCAGCAAGTACAAGGTACGCAAATGGTTACAGAGACAAGAACCCTACAGTCTTCAGCGACCCGTGAGACGACATTATCGTCGCAATCAGGTCGTCGTCGCTGGCCTTGATGATCAATGGGACGCTGATCTCATGGACATGACCAAATTCAGCAAAGAAAATGAGGGTGTGCAGTTCGTACTCTTGGCCATCGATATTTTCTCCAAGTACCTATGGATGCGACCTTTAAAGGATAAGAAAGGGCCAACGACAGCCCGGGCCTTCGAAGACGTATTGCGTGAGGGGAGGCAACCTACGAAGCTTCGCACGGACAAAGGACAAGAATTCCGATCAAAAGCCTTCAATGATGTATTGAAGGATCACAACATCGAACATTTTTATTCTCAAAACACCGAAGTGAAAGCCAACTATGCAGAGAGAGCCATCAAGACGATTAAAACTAAGATGTATCGTTACATGACATTCAAACAATCTGAACGATACATTGATCGTCTTCAGGAATTCGCTCGGAGTTACAACAAGACGTACCACCGCACCATTGACACCGAACCTGAACTGGTTAGACCAAACAACGAAGAAGAAGTGCACGTATCAACATTCCTGTCGCGAGAGGAGATACCACGCAAGCAATCAAAACGGCCCTACAAGTACAAAGTGGGTGATAAAGTACGCATTTCGAAAATATCATCCATTTTTGACCGGGAATACGATCAAAAGTGGTCTGGTGAAATTTTCATCGTGTTTCGACGTTTCCTGAGGAACGGCATTCCAGTGTACAAACTCAAGGACTACAATGACGAAACCATTACGGGTACATTCTATCAACCGGAACTCCAAAAAGTGGATGTTAGAGACGAGGATACGTTTAAGATTGAAAAGATCCTCAAGACCCGTGGAAGAGGACCAAACAAGCAATATTTTGTAAAATGGTTGCATTGGCCAAAGAAGTTTAATTCTTGGATAAATGCTGATGATATGACTGCATAATTTAGTTCAATTATCATTGCCTACCTTGAAATTATATGTATTCAGACTTTTGTCGAAAATATTGCTCTTCATATCTTGCAATAAAATATGAACAAAAACAATGTGTTGTTTTGATCATCCCCCGACTGGTCTTTACTCGTCGACACCTTCAATTGATATGTATTTTTAATTTGCACTTGATGAGCCCAATATACCCTTGGATTGAACATTACTCGTCAAGACCTTCCATTTGATAGGTCACAATAAACCCTTTGAGTTACCTTTTGATTTTGCACTCGATGACCCCCAGAACACCCCCGGGCTTAACTGTACTCGTCGAGACCTTCCATTTGATATGTCACACGATACCCTTTGGGTTACTTTTTATTTTGCACTTGATGACCCCTAACCACCCCCGGGATGACCTCTCCTCGTCAAGTCCTTCCATTTGATATATCAGACGATACTTTTTGAGTAGCTTTGATTTTGCACTTAATGACCCCGGACCACCCCCGGGCTGACCTCTTGTCCAGACCTTTCCTTTGATAGGTCACGTGACCAAATATTCAAATGATGCCTTCTGATTGGTCAAAAGTTTGATGACGTCATTGGCGCGAAATTTGAATCGGGATCTATATGAGCGCCCTCCACTACTATAATTGGCCGATGTTGGTCTTTCTTTCCTGGAATCCTATGGATTGCTAGAACGTCATCTTCTTTAATCTGTTCGCCCACTTCCTCGAGCACTTCATTCACAACCTGTAAGGGTTCTTCCCCTTTCTTCTCTGGCAAACCATGAATTTTTAAATTATTCTTCCTCGAATATTGTTCATTGAAATTTGCTTTTGAAATTGCTAACCTTGTCATCCATTCGTTTTCTTCCGTTTTGTTAAGCAAGTCGTTTAATACTTCTTCGTGTTCCCTAATTTCTTTCTGCAAATCTTTGTTTTCTTGTAGTTTCTCATTCTCTTCTCTGAGTTTTACGACTTCATCGTTCAATTTCTTCTCAAACTTTTCTTGGTAACTACTAAATAATTCTTCTACAACACTTCTCACGACTGTTTGAATATCACTAACCTTTATTGTCTTTTTGAGTTCGTTGTTAATCTCGGTCAGCTGTGTTTGAATTGAATCCATTGTTATTTGCATGGAATTTTCCTGCGTACGTTTTGGAGAGGACTCAGAGGAAAGAATTCCCTTCTGGCTATCCTTTTGACTGTCTTTTGGAGATTTGCTAGTAGCTGGAGTAGAACCTTTACGAGTAGTAACACCAGTAGAAGGCATCTTAAAATATTTGTCAATAGTACTCATGTAGATCTACAGGCTATAAATAGATTTTACTCACTACACTATCGTTTCGATCTAATTCCTTAAAAATACCACTCCTAGATTTCAAATAAGGAAACCACTGCATGTATCCGCCCTGAGCAAGGCTGAATTCACAATTTGACCATGTTTCAGTCCTATAAAACTTGTCAACTCGGCCGCTCCACGCTCCCTCACTCGACGCGTCTTACCTCGAGTGGCGCCATTTTGAGTGAAATTGGATTAGACAGAACTGTCCCTGTGAAGCTGTGGAGACATCAAGATGAAGTTTTCCGCCAAGTGCTCAAGTTGACCCGTAAGGATGAAGTCCTCGTCCTTCACTTGCGTGGGATTGCTGCAGACAGGATTGGAATGGATGTACACGCACGCTGTATCCAATTACTTAGGAAATCGTGTGATCCGGACCAACCAATACATCTACACTGCTTCACGGGCGACCAGGGTTAGTCAAGGAGTGGATGGATAGCTGTTCTAACGTCTATTTTGGATTCGTAGGTGCTGTGACGAACTTTAGTGCTGATCAAGTTGCCGGTCTTCAGTCCGTCCAATGAGTCGCTTGCTGCTGGAAACAGATTCCCCGTATATGAAACCAGGAGGAGCTGTTAACACTCCAGCGTTCATTGGTGACGTCGCTACCGAAGTTGCATCAAAACTACAAGTTAGCGTGCAGTACCTATTGAAGGAGACTGTTAAGAACAGCCATCGTCTCTACAAGTTTTAGATGACATGTATAGAGGACTATTCCTGCAGAGTTACAAGTCTGGATTATCTTCCGACTAAGTTCATGTGGAATGTCTTAAGTACCAGTCCATATAAAAATCATGCAAAAGGTGATTCACTCAGGTTCTCAGAATTCAATGATTTTCCACACATAGATTTCTCTTGACCCATGATCCATGTATGTAAAATAAAAAAATGTGTTGGATCATGGTTACTATGGAAACCTGATCAAAGTAATTTCCTTAGCAACCAGCCAATTTTTCTATTTGAAGGCAATGAAAATCACTGATCTTTAAAGCCTGATATTATATATAAAAACCTTAACAATAAATCTCATTTACTGGTATGATAAAGACACACACTTTATTTGTTTAAAACACACAAGACATTGATATTTTATCTGAAGCTAGTACTATGGTAGACATTAGAATATATGTATGTTTTTTGCATTTTTGCTGATTCAGCATTTTCCTTGATTTTGACAATATTCAAGGTCAATTTAAAAAAAATACCAAGCTAATACAGATTTTGCATGACTTTCACAGAAAAGTAGAGGACATTCTCTTTTACAGATTGAATTTGAAAGCGTGGGTTTTTTGAAAAATCCTATTCGTTGTCTAGCAACAAAATTGGATGTTTTGATAACTAAAAAGTGAAAAATGGTAAAGGGTTGGGTCAAGAATCTTATAAATTTTATCTTTTTGTGGCAGATACAATTTTTCAAGTAATAGAAAATAACTCTTATATAATTTTAAAACGAAAGAATAAATTATAATTATTAATCTCCATGGCAACAGGAATTTTTCCCTAGCAACAATGCAAAAACGGTTACTTTTTCTCCCTTTTAAAATATGTATATTAGAAATAAATCGATAATTATTCTCAAAATTGTAATTGGGCAAATTGTTAAGTTAATATGGGTTTGAAATAAGTAAATTTTACTATATTAACCCATGGCAACAATTCTAAATACCTAGCAACCAATTTTGTAACCACTTTACCTTTTTACATACAGTAATTTATTTTGGAAGTTGAAATGACATTTTCCAAAAAAGGCCTTCTGAATGAAAAATAAAAACAAATAGATACAAGTAGTATATATCAAAATATCTCTGTTGATGAAAAGATTCCATAGAGTAACTAATTCTTGGGTTGCCATGGTAATACGTTGCACACAGGCCAAAAAACAAACTTTTTGTTTGCAAAGTACACTACAGCTGTACTTGGCTCCCAGTTCTTGCTTAATGGGCAAAACTAACTGGTTATTCAAATACCTTTAGCATTCGTTTTTCTACATAAAGTATATTTTTTATGATTACCATGGATATAATAACGTGATGTTGAATTAATGTAGCTTAGGTACTATTGTATTAGCTGCAGAACTTTAGCTCTCTGCTTGAGAAAATTCGGACAGAAAAAGCAGAGAGCTACAGATCTTAGCGTTGTAAAAAAAAACCTTCGATTTACGCCAACGATTTTTTTGTCGCTACTTCGGGTAATTTATTTCGTGTAGTTTAAACTTTCTCTGGCTTTTAGAATTGTATCCTATAATTAATTATAAATTTAACTCTTGTTTTTTTTTTTTTTTTTTTTTTTTTTTGTATATATATATATATAATTTATTAAAATTCATTTACCATTAAACGGTCCTAAACAGTCCTGTATATAGTTTTGTAGTTTCATAGTTGGTCGGTTTAAAAGAATTCCGTTTTGACGTCCGTAACCAAAATCAGCCATTTGTTAGCGTTGAATGGTAAGTAGATTATCAAGAATTTAAGTTAAATGTATGATTATAATTATAAAATCCTTTTTAAAGCTGAGGGAAGCATAAATAGAAGAAAAATACCCGATCCGAGCGACAAAAAATCGTCGGCGTAAATCGAAGGTTTTTACAACGCTTGGATCTGTGCTTTCTGCTTTATCTGTCCGAATTTTCTCAAGCAGAGAGCTGCAGTTCTCTAGCTACCATTCTATGTGAAACCTCGTTAAGATTTCTCTAAAGGTTGAAACTTATTTATGTTTATTTATTTTTGTGTGTGTGAAAAGGTCTACTGGTTTCGAAAGTATCTTGAAATCAATCGCTGTAATTTGAAATGGAAGATTGATTGATTGATTGTATGTTGTTAAACGTCCCTCTCGAGAATTTTTCACTCAAATGGAGACGCCACCACTTGCCGGTGGAGAGCTGCAAATTGTATCCTATACTCGGCACTTACGGCCCTTTTAAGAGCAGTGATGGATCTGTTGTGACATGGGACCTCGGTTTATATAGTCTCATCCGAAGGACCAGTCTCCACGTCCCACAGTGGGATTCAAACCCGCGACGTAAGGATCAACTCCTTACTTTTCATCTCTAGAGCAGATGCTCTAACGACTGTGCCACGCAGGCGACTGAAATGGAAAAAGACATTACCATATCACTATTTTCTAGTACTTACAAACAATTCTTTTAAAAAGAAAGGTGAGTTAGCGTTGTAGCCATCATAAAACACAGAGGTAGATATCAGAAACCACTGAAACTTTAATTTGCTGAATTGATAAATTATTAATAAGTTGGTACTGTAGGGGGGTGGTGGTGGTCTCAATTCAGAATAATGAATTCTAGAGTGGACTTGACAATGACACAGCTCAATAATTCTGCTATATAAGCATTCTGTGTTTTACTGTTATTTCAATCTGGGGTGAAAAATAAGAGACCAATAGAACAAATGGGCACCTAGTTTATAATATTCCAGTGCGCTTCCATTTTGTCCTTGCATCTTCTTGGGTCTTTCCAGCAATCTGAAAAAATAGCCTAGGTTATACTAGTAATTCTGAACTTGCCAGAATGATCAAGTGAGGTAGTAAAAGCTAAGTATTTATTATAATTTTAGAAATGTCTGATCTCTTCAGCCTTGGCATCATAATAATTAAGAATTGAATGAAAAGACTGAAGATAATTAATATAGAAGAATATCTGATATTTGAGTAACTGTTACTTTATATATATTTTTATGCCCCCCCCCCCCCGTAAACGAAGTTTTGGGGGGTATTTAGTTTTTGTCGTGTCCGTCCGTCTGTCTGTCTGTTTGTCCGCAAAAACTTAAACCTTGCCCATAACGTTTTATTTAGTGGAGCTATGACTTTCATATTTCACATGTGTATTCCTTGTGATAAGACCTTTCTTTGGGTACCACCAAATTTGACCTTTTGACCTAGAGTTTGACCCACTTTTACACAAAAATTCCAAACTTTTACTCTGGCCATATCCTTTGAACAGTAGGAACCAGGACTTTTATACTTTATATATGTATTTTTGTGGCAAGAGCTATCATTGAGTACCAACAACTTTGACCTTTTGACCTTGACCTTTGAGATTTCCGTACTTATGAAAAAACTTTAACCTTGGCCATAACGTTTGAACAGTAAGGGCTTTCATACTTCACATAAATGTATGTTATCCTTGTGATAAGGCGTTTCATTGGATATCAAGAACTTTGAACTTGACATTGGAGTTTGACCTACATTTCAAATACAACTTTGAACATAATTTTTGAAAGGTTAGAACAAAGGCTTTCATATTTCAAGTATTCAATCCTTGTGACAAGACCTATCATTTGATATCAAGATCTGTGACCTCTTGACCTCGGAGTTTGACCCTATTTTCCACAAAAAATCCAAACTTTTACTTTGGCTTTAATTTTTAAACGGTAGATACATGTACTAAGAATTTCATATTTCAAATATCAATTCTTTGTGGCAACACCTTTCATTTCAAACCAACAATTTTGACCTTTTGACCTTGACCTTGGATATTTCCATACTTAAAAAAATCTTTGGACATAACTTTTGAACAGTAAGGGCTAGGTCTTTCATACTTTACATATGTAATCCTTGTGACAAGACCTTTTATTGGATATCAACAACTTTGACCCATTTGACCTTTGCCTTTGATTTTGACCTACTTTTTACAAACTTTAACCTTGGGCATAACTTTTGAACAGTAAGGGCTAGAGCTTTCATTCTTCACATATATAATCCTTGTGACAAGACCTTTCATCAAATGTTAACAAATTTGACCTTGACCTTGGAGTTTGAACTTCTTTTTACAAATTTTAACCTTGGCCATAACTTTTGACAGTAAGGTTTAGCACTTTCATACTTCCAATATATGTAATCTTTGGAACAAGGACTTTCTTTAGAAACAAACAACCTTGACCCTTTTACCTTGACCCTGGAGTATGTCCTATCTTTAAAAA